GAGGGAGAAGCAGGCTTCCCGCCGAGCAGGGAGCCCGATGCGGGGCTTGATCCCAGGACCCTGGGATCATGACCTGAGCCGAAGGCAGACGCTCAACGACTTGAGCCACCCAGGTGCCCAGGACCCTGTCTTTTATCAGCCTCAAACTTTCTGTTGCCTCCAACTCCCAGTCCACAGTGCTAAGATAGCATTTGTAAGGGAGAAACAGAATCTGCTGAATGGGTAACAGGTCGAACTTTCTGCAAGGAATGGGAGCTCTGTGGGTGGCGGTGAGTCTGGGTCTTCTTGAGGCCAGATTCCCACCCATATGCGTCTGTATAACTTGAGGTCAAAGGGATATTGCTTTAGTTCTCTGTTGATTAAGATGTTACTTTGTTATGGTAGAAAGGACACGTTTCCTAGGCCTGCTGAATTAAAAAGATGTATCATTGAACTCTCTGTAGTGTTGCCTTTCAATGTAGCAGTTGAAATCATAAGAAAAAGAAACAAAGGCAGCTTTTTAAAGAAGGGCATATACCCTGATTTTCAATTTTAGATTTTTCTTTCCCCTAGGTGTTCGTCCATAAGTAGGAAAAGCTGCCTATTTAAGATAGGTTCCATATCAATTCATATGGCTCGTTATAGGGTTAAAATTAGTGTATAGTTGGGGCGCCTGGCTGGCTCAGTCAGTAGAGCATATGACATTACTTGTAGACATTACTTAAAATAGTCTTTTTTTAAAAAGTTAGCATATGGGTGCCTGGGTGGCTCAGTCGGTTGAGTGGCTGCTTTTGGCTCAGATCATGATCCCAGGGTGTTGGGATTGAGACCCGCATCGGGCTCCCTGCTCAGCAGCAAGTCTGCTTCTCCCTCTACCCCTCCCCCTGCTCGTGATCTCTCGCTCCCTCACCCTCTCAAATAAAGTAAAATCTTTAAAAAGAAAGTTTGCATATAAAGTTAAATATATTTATTTCATCTGACATAGTTTCTACCCCAGGAATTGTAAAGAACACTGTTTAAGGCTCAAACTTAAAAATCAAAAGATTTTTTGTCCTAGAATATAGTCACACGAAACAGTTTTAATATGAAAGAAAATAAATTGCTTGCCTTATCTCGATATTAAGAGGTTATTTAGGTTGGTAGGTTTTGTTTTGGTTTTAGGGTTTTTTGGACGGAGAGAGAGAGAGAGCGCATGCGTGTACGTGTACACACATAAGCAGGGGAGGGGTAGAGGGAGAGAAAATCTGAAGCAGGCTCCACCCTCAAGAGCAGAGCCCAGTGCAGGGCTCAGTCTCACGGCCCTGAGACCATGATCTCAGCCAAAATCAAGAGTCGGACGCTTAACTGACTGAGCCACCCAGGCGCCCCAGTTTGGTTGGTTAATACAATTTAGACAGAAGAATCACCCAAAGTATCTGAAGTAGAGAAAGCATTCTGAGGGTCTTGAGTAGTGTTAAACTGAAGGAGACTTCCAGGTACTTAGCTACTATAGAACCATGACTTCTAAGTACCTGTGACAACTGACTGGCTTTTTTATTTCAGCTCTTGGAGAAGGAAAAGACAACTTTGTACAATGCCCTGTAGAAGCACTCAAGTGGGAAGAAAGGAAATGTCTCATCCTAGAAGAAATCCTAGCCTACCAGCCCGATATACTGTGCCTCCAAGAGGTGGACCACTATTTTGACACCTTCCAACCACTCCTCAGTAGATTGGGCTATCAAGGCACGTTTTTCCCAAAGCCCTGGTCACCTTGTCTCGATGTAGAACACAACAATGGACCAGATGGCTGTGCCTTGTTTTTCCTCCAGAACCGATTCAAGCTAGTCAACAGTGCCAATATTAGGCTGACAGCCATGACATTGAAAACCAATCAGGTGGCCATTGCACAAACTCTAGAATGCAAGGAGTCCAGTCGACAGTTCTGTATTGCAGTCACCCACTTAAAAGCACGTACTGGTTGGGAACGATTTCGCTCAGCTCAAGGCTGTGACCTCCTCCAGAACCTGCAGAACATCACTCAAGGAGCCAAAATTCCCCTTATTGTTTGTGGGGACTTCAATGCAGAGCCAACAGAGGAGGTCTACAAACACTTCGCTTCCTCCAGCCTCAACCTGAACAGTGCGTACAAGCTGCTGAGCCCTGATGGGCAGTCAGAACCCCCATATACGACCTGGAAGATCCGGACGTCAGGGGAATGTCGGCACACACTGGATTATATCTGGTACTCTAAACGGGCTCTGAGTGTGAGGGCAGCTCTTGATTTGCTCACTGAAGAACAGATTGGACCCAACCGGCTACCATCTTTTAATTATCCTTCAGACCACCTATCTCTAGTGTGTGACTTCAGCTTTAATGAGGAACCTGATGGACTTTTCTAAATGCTTGTCTTTTTAATCACAAGAGTCTTAACCAGGGATGTTTCAGGAAACTAAAATAGGATAAGAAGTTGCCCGAGGAAGGATTCCCAGTTTCTTTTGTCATTTTCCATGTTTCCAGCATGCCCTTGGGAAGGAATCCCATTAGTCCACAAACCTTTTCCATTAAAACCTGCAGCAAAGAAGGTGTTTGCACTCCAGTTTTGGCTTGTATTATTTTCTTTCCCTTAGCATTACATTTGGATCATTTAAGGGCATTAAAAATGAGGCTTATTTTGTAGCTTTTTCAGTTTAAGGATGCTTTATAAAAATAGACTTGCTTGAGTCCTCCATAATTAGTAAGTATACAGGAGCAATTTCTCTAGATAGCATTTCAAGTTATTTATTTGTAGTTTTTAAAATGTCAGCAAGATATGCATGGCAATATTTATTTTTTTATATTTTCATATAAGATTAAATAGAGCATTGTGAATGTTTTAAAACCATGCAAAACATAAGTTATAGAGTAATTTATAGTGATTTTCTTAAATCTCTAAGATCTTTTTATTTGGGGTCTAACAATAGTAGTGTATAAAGGGACTATGTAGCCTGACAGGGTTTTTAGTTTATTTAAGTGGAAATATCAGGTCTCCTTGATACTTTCTTCGTAAGCAATCCTTGCTATGCCTCCATGTTCCCATTATTGTGTTTCTTAGATTCCGTAGTCTTCATTATTGAATCACTGTTAGGCATTTATAGCTTTCCATTGGAATGCTATGATACACATTTGAGGTCACTCAGTGTCTGTTTGTATTGGACTGTGCTTTTCACACTAGGTTATTTAGGAACTCTTATGTGGCAGTAGCTAAGAAAGTAAGTGGGGCCTTCTTTTCAGAGATAGGAAACTAGAAAGCCTATTAATGAGGCTATTCTTAAAATCTCCTAAGAGAGCCAAGTGGCTAGTTCAAAATGTCTAGAAAGAAGAATGTTAAAAAGTTAGAAAGATAACTTGGAATTCTCTTCCATAAGAAATAAAAGCGGTACAAGATAACAGGTGAAGCCCCTTTCAAGCAAAATCCCAACAAATAACCTATTGGTAATAAATTGATAAATACTTTAACCCATGAGTTGTAAATACTTAAGAATAATAAATGGTCTTTTAAAGCTAGTGATTTTACTATCTTGTCTTTTTAGTCCAAAAAGAATCTGGGAGTAGATTTGATCTTTTAATACTGTTAACACGGTGACCCACTGTATCCATTTACACACAGACCTTCATTTTGCACATTGAAGGCATCTATGCCGTGCTTATGTAATGTCTCTAGGGGTCACGGGTGGAGTCCCACAAAATGGCTCACCCATATATTCTGCAGTGGAACTACTTTTGAGATAAATGAGGTTTTCAGTACATTGTATACAAAAAATCTTGGGGCTTCCTGGAAGGAATGGCTAGCTGGAAGAACATCTGTACCAACTGTCATTTGGTTCAAATCTTAGCATGATAATGGTACCATCATCACTGTTGAGAAACCAAACACTGATTGAAACAGGCATTAAATATTGTTTGCGTACCCCAAGGTACACCAACCGGAAGAGAAACTATCACAACGGCCCTAAGAGAGCAAATCTGGATGAGAATGAAAGCGAAAATAATGTTTGCATTTCAAATGTTGTCCACCAATATATGAATTAACAGGCTATGGGTTGAGGGTGGCTGGGAATGCTAATGAGCAAAAAAGCTGGAAATAACCATGTGATTGTAATGTGCCTTTACATTAAGGAAATAGGGCAAAAATTATAATGGAACTCTCCTTCAGTTATCCTTTGGAGTTAGGGCAGTATGCTTCTGTTTGATGGTTTTGTATTTGTCTTTATTTAAAATGGAGTTATGTGAGCATTTTATGTAAACAATTTTTAGTAGTATATTAAATCTTGTTGGATTGTACTTCATATTTTATTTTTCCTTTCAAGTCTTTGTAGACACCTTTGCCTTATGGACTATCAGAGTAACCAGAAGCAGAATGGTAAGTAACAAATCTGTATTCTAAATTTTTGGGCATGTTCCATTTAATGAATTTCTCTTATTCCACCCCCCTGTACCTTTTGGTTCAGCTTTTCTTTTTATATCGCATAATAGTTTAACCGTGGTCATAATAAGAGTCTTAAAAGAGAAGTAAATTGTGCGTATTTGAAGAGAGAATGAGAGTGGCAATGGATTTTTTTTTCTTCCTCCATGCCATATTTCAGTAGATTGCCTTCTACAAGGTGAAAGGAATAGGAGTGACCACTTCATTCATTTAAGCAAAGAATAATGGTGTATACATAAGAAACACATTTGAGTTCCTTACCTTTGGCTCCAAGAGTTTTCAATACGATCTTTCAACTACTCTGAATTAATTAATTTTTTCTGCAACTACTCTTAATTTAAAATGGGGTGTAAAACATCAAATCATTTGACCAAAGCGACAGCTAATAGAAGGAGAGCCAGTATTCAGACCTAGGTCTGTCTTGACTCCAGAATGCTTGCTTCTTTCCCCACCAACATGTTCCCTTGGCCTTGAGTGAGTACAGCTGGAGACAAAAGTGATAGTGGGGGAGGAAGAGATCTGTTCAGTGAAAAATGGTCAAACATAAGGCAAATACTTCGTAGTACATATGCAATGTAGAATAGAAGCAAGATACAGAGGCCAAATCGCAGCTGAAAGAGCAGATCTCTGTTATTCTGATACAGTAAAGTAGTTAAAAAGTAAAACATCTATTACTGTTTGCATACTTCTTTTTAGAAGGAAGCAGGAAGAACAGTTACTCTAATAGTGTTTCAAACTAGAGGAAGAAATTGATGCAAATATTCTATATTGGAGCCATTTTTTAAAACATCCAAGATTTTATAATAGTGAAGTGAATGTTGCATATAATTAGATAATGTGTTTTAGGCTTGAGGAAGTTTATATCCAAGATATAAATTCTAAAAAGAGATAAAAACACATGCTCATAATCCTAATTGATTTCAATTTTAGAAAAGGAAAGGCATCCAAAAAATGAATGTACTTGCAGAAAGAGCTTTTTTTAATGACACGTATAAAAATACGGCACAGGCAAGCTTTCATCTAGAAGGGCTTAGATACCAGAGTGGGAGAGGACTGGAGCTTGGGCTTCTAAAACAAGCAGAGGGAAGGGGTGCCTGGGTGGCTCAGTCATTAAGCGTCTGCCTTCGGCTCAGGTCATGATCCTGCAGTCCTGGGATCGAGCCCCACATCAGGATCCCTGCTCGGCG